ATTGTATATAATAACCTGGGTGTTATTTACCATTATATTTTGTTTTGCAATTTGAAGGTGTTCAAAAATGTGATGGTTTTAATTAGTAAACACATTTGACACTATAAAAAAAAAGAATATTTTTAGAACAAAAAAATTATGAGAACCCTACAAGAATGGATTTTATTAGTTTATGGTAAACAATTTACCCCCCCCCCCCCAACAAGAAACCGTCCAAAGAATTACAAATAACGTCTATAAAAAAAGAGAAAAGTTAACTTCCTTACTATTATAGGTTTACTTATTCTTTAAAAATCACACAAAATGATAGCATTCCATTATAAATATTAAAGACTTTAGGTTAGCTCTTAAACTACTACATGTATATTCCCTCTTTAGTGGGAGTGCAGAATTTTGTACTATCATGAATAAAGTGTATCCCTTCAAGCTTTCCAAGTTTAAGGTTTCAAATACGTAATATTATTTAAAATGTGTATTTTAGTTTTTTATCTATAAAGAGTGAAAGACGAAACAAACACTACCTGTTCCTTGCTCTTCACGAACTCCAATAGTTTCTGAACAACAAAATTAGCGAAGAAATGTCTAGTTAGTTGCACAAGGTGTCCTTTCAAGTATTTATTCCACAAACGCTTTTGATACTTTTCACAAGCAACCATTAACAAGATTTCAGCAAAGTGCGAGCCACTATCGCTGGTTAAGAGTGCTGGAAGCCTGTGAGAAAGAAATTCAAAAGATTTCTGAAAAACTTTCACAAATGTATATACTGGTTTACAACTTTTAACAACAACTTAAAAAAACAGTAAGAGGATGAGAAGAATGTGAAGGTTTTTCACTATTTTTAAACTCTCAAAACCTTCATCGTACAAATTGTTTGAGTGTTATTTCTATTTAACTGTGAAAACAAGTATCTGAACAAGCAGCAACAAAGACCAAAATAGATTGATGATATCTTATTCTTTTATGTTTCGACCAAATGCTATGAGAGAAAACAGATTAAACAAAAATCAATAACTCAGAAACTGTTTTGGATATAATATTAATATAAATAACAAAAATTATTATGAACAAACAAGCAAGTATTTCAAAGTTGTGTGATTAAAACATACCCTTCGTCATCGGCACCGTGGAAAGCTTGTTTAATGATCACTTTCACAAGTTTTTGACACATTTTCATGTGACGTTTCTGAAGTACTAGCAGCAAAGTCTGCAAAACGGGTGAAGCTTTCTTACTCTGTATCCACTCTAAAAAACAACAACAATCAACAACTAGAACTCTACAGCTTTTTATTAATACGAACACACAAAAACAATACTAGAAACTGGAGAAAAAACCTACATATCCATACAAAAACAATACTAGAAACT